GTAATCCTCAAAGTCAATGAAATAAGATTGAAAGTTCACTACCAGCGACGATTTTCCTCCAGATAAAAGAAGCGCAGTAAAAATTTGAAAAAAATGATTCAAAACTTACCCCCTTGTCGAATATTGCAACAGTTCCAGCAGCTTTACTGTTGAGAGAGCGGAGCAGGGATTTGTCCGCAGCTTCCATTTGAACCACTCTGAACGCTCATTTCTTCTAACCTACGGTCTTTGGAAATGACTTTACAAGCAGATGCAGTCCATAGACCTTTATCTACTCCGTTAGGCTTTGGTTTCCAATGGAAACTTCAGCGGTAATCCAAGTGACGAGCACGTTGTAAACTTCACACAGTAAAAGATTCGGAAGAAAATTCATGCAAAAGGCTCAAGTATCACATATAAATTAGTATCCAATTATGGTAAAACGTGCCTAAAATGCTGTGGTGAAATCACAAACATCAAACCCATTCTCGTATTACTACGAAGAAGCGCTAAACACAATAAATATGAATTACAAGTACAAGTAGCCGAACAGCTATAGACTTTATAAACACTGAGAAGCTAGTAATAAACACTGAGAGGCTAGTGAATGAAAGGGAATGCTAATAAAGATGCAGAGCTAATGAAAGTTAATAGCCGCTGTTTCTGAGGTTCGAGTAGAAGCATTGACTACATATTCGATAAAAGCTAATCTAGAAGGTTTCATCATCATCATTTATCACCGCCTGAGCAACACCGTCTTCTCCGCCTTCGCCTTCCGCCTAAAAAAAACGCATTATTCATATCTTTTAGAATGACTACCTGGAAACACAGCATTTTTAGATTGTATTATACCAGAATTTTTCATGGTGAACTGTGTCATTTCGTTAATTTAGAAGAAACTAATAAGCGACATTTTTGGACAGAATATCGGCCAGTCAACTGCATTTTTTCAATGCAAGGAAGCTTTCCAAATACTTACATTTGTTTCGTAAAGAATTGCTAAAATCGCTTCTTTATCCGGGTTCTCTCCTTCTGCACAAGCATTGCACATGTCTTCTATCCTTCGAAGTTTTTCGAAGTAGAAATTACGCTCGTTCTCCACAGTTTCTGCTATGCCTGTCATCTGTAAGAATCACATCCTTTCATTAAAGAAAATATAGAATCCCCCCTTTTCTAAATATAAAATCGGCTCTGTGGTCGTAGCCCGCGGTGCTGAAAACCAGTCACCGAGGCTGCTAGTCACTCGGGGAAAGCGCAGTGTAACTCAAATTTGAATGAGAAGACAGGGAAGCGGATAACGAGCAAGAATTAATGAGGAAAATGAGACAAAAATGGTAGCACATCATAGAGGGCCCCTCCCATTTTTGGGTCAAATGAGATGAGGCGACTCCTCTTCTGTGCTAACATATGCGCGCTTTCTCGCCTCTCTTCCTCCTGGCGAGAGATGGGTTGTGCCACGCTCCTCTACTGTGAAGTTACCACTACCTATGGATACTTCTCAGTGCCGAGTGAAATTGCAACCAAGCTTACCTCTCGATTGCCTTCATGGGGAAGCTTAGCATTCTCTTCTTCCAGTGCTTTTAACGCAGACGTATCAGCAACCGCAGAGCGATTGGAAAGCGGTGGAACCGGCGACGCTAAAAATGAGTTGTTTGGAATCAGATCAATCAGAATCGCAAATCAGTCCTTGGTAAATACGAGACCATGAAGAAATTGTATTGAGCTAACGGAACGTCAGCTCTACGCTGGCTGCTTACGTGACAATTTTTCAGCCACTGTAGGTTCAGCACCTCATGGATTTTGACTCTTATCGACAATCTACGCACGGAATGCAAACAACTTTGTTTTGCTTTTCAGAAATCAATAATTCAAATAACGATGGATTCAACGCTTTCCACTCGATATCCATGTGACGCGCTTACATCGCTAGGAGCGGTTAAGTGTGGTGCATGCTTTAACCATTTCTTTTCTTGGCGCGTAGATGAGAGTAGCAGAGACTAATCAAGAAGTCAGAAGAAGCAGCAACCTAGCCATAACTTATAATTGATTTTGTCAATAATGATTTGTGTGCTATTGCATGGAGCCTAGCGTTGCTGGAAATTCAGAAATAACATGTAACGTAAATAGGAGGAAGGGGATTTTCTATACATGGAGAAACGTGACGCTAACGGTGCATCCGCAGCCAATTGAAAACATCATCGATAGCTATGTAAAATGAGAAATCCCATCGAAAAAGGACAATATAGGAAAAAACTTACTTTTCTTTGCTTGGGTAGGAGCAGCAGCACGCTGAGTCGTGTTTGCAGAAGTGCGAAGGGTTGTGTTTATTGAAGTCCGTGCAGGAGGAACACGCACCGGCGCTACTCCTTTACCTCCGGCTGGCAAGGGCTGAACAAATAACAATGGTTACGGGCAGAAAAAAGAGGCTTCTTCTCGTAAGAAATAGTAAATATGCTAAAAACTATCTGATACGACATCAAAATCATGTGTTTTGCCACCAGCTTATCCCTGGCCATGACAACGTCAAGCAAATCCAGCATCTTTTGAAACTAACCGTAAGAAGAGTACCGAAAATTTACATACACCCAAAGCTTATCGTGCGTGCAAAATGAGTCTTCCTGATCCGTTCAAGTGTTTGAAGAAGACGCGAACGAACGAGAATTAGCTACATACTTTGACAAAAATCGAATGGTGACTTCTTATCAGCGATTGCACCTATAAGGCAATTTCTTGCGAATATGAATGCTTAGCATCACATGGACGCCGTGAATTGAGGAACTGGTGAAAAAAACCTTTCATACTGAAAACACACACACTAGGTTGTGAGCTTCTAGGAGAGCAACCCCCTTTTTTCATCTCAAGTATCGCCGACAAGGACACTTCTCAAAATATTGTATCTGAATTTGAAAAAAAAAAGAAAGCAAAAAACATACCTGCTTACATGCATTGATGATGATGATGACGAAAGAATAGTATAAAGAACTCAACTTTATTATACTGCGAA